GCACCTCCACCAGATGCCCTCCCCCTGCTGCCGCCCCTGCCCCTCCAGATGCACCCGCTTCTTCCCCCGGACCTCCACCACTTGGGGGGTTTTGAGGCAATAGCAGCACCTCCGGAGGCGAGTAGAGCTCTGTCTCCTCCGCGCTGAAAGAAGGGTTGGGGAAGGGGGTTGGGGTATGGGCAGGGAGGTACAGCGCAAGGGGAAGGCGGCAAGGAAAATGAGCAAGGGAGATTAGCAGCAGTAGAGCTCTGCCTCCTCTGCATTGAAAGAGGGTTGAGAAGGAGGGAGGCAGGGGGGAAAGGGAGGGGTAATCCCCAGGCCAGAGGGGAGCGAGAAGGAAAATGAAGGGGGAGGGGTTTTCCAGCAGCAGCAGCACGTCGGGTGGCGAGTGGAGTTCTGACTCCTCTGCACTGGAAATAACAGAGCAGGCGGGGAAGCGGAGGAGTGGAGGGGCGTGGTGTCAGTGTGTGGGGGCGAGAAGGGGGGTTGAGTTGAACCAAAAGGAACCTTAGGGGTCGGATGAATCGGGAAGACAGAGCCATTGTCAGCTCCTATTGTAACGGACAGGAGGAGCTATTTGGAGAGGGAGGTGCTACCTATCTGTAATCTCACCTGAAGGGGAGGCTCCCCCAAAGGCTCGCAGGTGGATCGGCGTGGGAAAGGGGGGCTGGTTTCCTCCTGGGATCTCCTTAAAGCCCAAAAAAAAAAAGAACAAAAAAAGGGGGGGGAGGCGTTACCTGGAGGGCCCTGTTGGCCCGTAGAGGAAGCGCGCAGAGTGCGAGTCAACAGCTGAGCCCAAGTCAAGAAGCCGACTACACCGGGTTGGTTGGGAAGAGGAGAGATCAGGAAAGGGGAGGAGAGAGAAGAGGCAGACAGTGGAGTGGAGGGAATGCTTTCGGTACTGATCCAGCAAGGCAGACAACAGGTCAACTGACTTGGGTTCCAAGGAATGGCACAGCTTGGGGCTGAGTGAGGGGGAAAGGCGTGAAAAGAGCGAGTACAGTGTGACTCCGTAGCCCACCCACCCACCTGAGGGTTGCGCTCACACATGGGTGTCGGAATTGAAATCAGGCAGCGGGTTTGCCATAGGATCATGGCCACGTGTTGCACTGGCTGTTGAGGATGACCCTGCTGCTCCTCCTACTTCTTCTCCTGCTTTTCCTACTTCTCCTGCTCCTCCTGCTCCAACTCCTGCTGCTGCTGCTAGCACTTCTCCTGCAGCGGCTGATGGTGAGGAGGAGTCGGGTGTGGATGCATGCGATGTCTGCCCATCCTTGACTCCCTTGGAGCACTCTGGTTCTGACCTGCTGTTCTTCCTCCTATAATGAGGCTTCAGGATGATATTCTCTATCAAGGGACACAAGCGAGATGGATGGGGATTTAGGGAGGAAAGATGGAGAGAATAGGCGTACAATGTATGTTGACAGAATGACATACGGTTATATTTCCGATGGAACATCAAGCAGGTGCGGTAGTTCGATACGTGGCCACCACTTAAAAAAAAAATCAGAAACTCCAGTGATTGGTCGTGCAAACTTTCGTGAAAAATTGCGGTGGTAACGGGTTTCAGCTTTCAGCATTCTTCAGTCCACAAAGAGTCCTAATGAGAACGAGCACTACTTACATGCCTAGAAAATGTCGCGACAGAATGTGGTTATTCCCATTAGAACCCCTTGTGGTCTGAAGAATGCTGAAAGCCGAAACCAGTTACCACCACTGCATTTTTTTTATGATAGTTTTTTACAAACGCTCTCTACTAACAATCACAGGTGTCGAAATTCTTAAAATTTCTTGCCATGTAGTAACACCATGGCACCTACTTGGTGTTTCATCGGACTCAAGACACCGGCATATTTCTTGTACTATGAATGCTAGAGGCAACCACCAATATGTTGTGGATTGGAAATGTGATTGGTTCTATTCAATCCAAGAACAATGGCCACTTTGTTTTCTTCATGTAATCGCCTTATTTTCCCCCCTCCAGCCATGCGGTGTGACCGTGTGACCGTGTGACTGGAACATCGTACACGATTCCAAGTTCTTGGGCGACTACGTGAAGGTCCATGGGAAACAGCAGTGTACCTGAATTGATATCCCTCAAAACCCAGCATGGAATTGATATCCCTGTGGGTTATGTTACCTCCTGGCAGGCTGCCAGCAAGTGTTGACGCTCCTCAAAACCGTACCTGGCTTAATATCCCTGTGGGTAATGTTGCGCGCTTGCAACGCAGCAAGTCCCAGCAACTGCAGCACAGAAAAACAGGGGCAAGGGGGAGATGGGACGGCAGGGAAGAGCACAGGACGGAGGAAGGAAACAGGCAGAGAAGGTACGAGGGGAACGAGAGGAGAGGAAAACAAGGCACAAACGACGAAACATGAGGCACAAAGGAGAAAGAATCCCTCACCAAAGACATACCGGCGTGAGGCATGGGATATCGCTCCTTCCATATGCTTGAGTCTCCTGCTGCATGCCCGCCCATTCCATCCCATCCCACTCACCGTCTGCCTCAGAATGCTCCTCACTGTCTCCTCGCCCTCCTCTGTGGTGCGCAGCCACCGCCACCACTTCGAAGGCCGCATAATCCGATGCTGCCCACTCGCCTGATGCTGCCCACTCGCCTGATGCTGCCCACTCGCCTGATGCTGCCCACTCTTCACATGCTGCTCACTCTTCTCGTACTGCCCACTCCTTTCTGTCACCTCCCCTGCTCCCCCCATCATTCCGTATTCGTCTGCGCCCTCTCCTTTCTCCCCCTCAGCTTGTTCCGTTCCTTCCCTTCCCTTACCTCCATCCTCGTTTTTCTCCTCCTCTTCAACTTCCCCTCCCTCCTCTACTTTCTCTCCCACATCTCCCTCCTCTCCCTCACTCGTGTACAGCAGAGAGGAGAGCGACACCCCCTCGTGAACAAACACCAGCCACAGATCCTCGCTGCGCCCTTCACCGCTGACGTCGCTGCGGGCGTCACCGTTGACGTCACCACTAGTGGCGGTGTCGCTGGTGGTTTCAAACGACTCCACGTAGCGAGCAATGTGGTTCAACCCCATGGCATCAACCACATTGTCGTCCAAGCCACTCATGGGGTCTTCAGCACCATGCACCGCATCAAAATCATCACCAGGCACCCCTCGGTCACGCAAAACGTCATTCTCGTCGCTTCCGTGCCCAGTGCCACGTGGCAGCACCACATTGGTCGCATTGAGCAGCATCTCCCCAAAGTACTTCTCTCGGAGCCCGCTCAGCCGTGCTCCCTCCCCCGCCTACACGGAGGAAAAGGCAAGAAGAACAGGAGCGAGCGAGTGTGCAGCAGAAAAACAGGGAAGGGGAAAACGTTGTTTCACAAAGCAACTATGGTACAGAAACACTAGCAGCATTGTAAACAGCGTCTCAGTGGGGACTGTGCTTGAGAGATTCAGGCCCACGCCTACGCTCACCAAAAGTCTCTTCAGCACAAACAGTGGGGGTGCATCCTCCTCGTCCCCCTCCTCCTCCTCCCCTTCCCCTTTCTCCCCCTCCCCTTCATCTTTCTCCTCCGCCCCTTCCTCCTCCTCCTCCTCGTTGTCCTCGGCCTTTTCTTGCCAGGCTGGGGAATGCACCACCTCATGTAAGAGCTCACTTTCCTCCTCTCTTCTCCCTACTGTCAACCTCTTACTCGGCCCACTGGCAAGGATAACTGATCCTGAATTACGCTCCAAAGTGGGACTGGCAGCCAAAGTCGCTGCTGCAGAACTGCTTGCACTGACACTGGCACTGTTTCTGGCACAGTTTTCTCTGCCACAGCAGCTGCTGCTGCCGCCACGACTGTGTCTGTCCCCACTAACGCTGCCACTGCTGACAGTGCCAGAATTGCCTGTGGATAAGGGAAAGGACAGGGCAGCGTCAGAAGCAGCAGCAACAGCAGCAGACGTAGCAAGAAGCGCAGCAGCAGCTGAGGCGTCTCCAGGCATCCAAGTATTCCTCGCCTTCTGGCACGGCTCCCTCCTCACTGCCAGCCACACCTCGCCGAATCCCCCCCTTGCAAAGTTCTTCTGCAATTCGTACCTGGGGAGAAGGTGGACGGGGAAACACGGTTGGGAAGAAGGACGAAGGCACGATGGGGCAAGAAGAAATGCGGCGGAAACGCTGTCTTCAAACGAAAGTGATTGTTGGAGACGCACAATGCAACCATGTGGATGTGGGGGGAACGAAGTCAGTTGTTAGTACTAGCTTACCTGCGATGCACGAATCCCATCTGATGCCTTGCCCAATCTTCATCCGCCACATCAGCACTCCCCCATTCTTCCTCTTCCCCACCTCTCTCCTCCTCCGCGCTCCTTTCGTCTATCACCTCCCTTTCCTCCGCCCGAACCTGAAGCACCAACCTGTCTCTCCCCCCTCCCTCCGTGTCTATTCCTGTAACACTTCTTCCTGCGAGGCCTGGTCGGACCAGCGGCACCGAGCCTAGCAGGTTCAGGAACCGAACCAGTCCGAGAGGTGCGGGGATCGCCAAGCTTGTGGCTGGAAGCCGGAACGCGCTGGTGCTTGGTTCGGAGTGCGGAACTCCAATAGGGAGCGAGAGAGGGGAGTGTGTGAGGGAGCTAGGGAAATGCATTGTGGAAGAGTGAACGAGGGGTTTGAGGGGCTTAGTCAAAGGCACGTCCTCTGGGTTGGGCGGGTGAGTGTGAGTTGATATTTGGTCGTAAGGTGGGATATGGTCCGGAGCTGGGGTTTGATGCGGTGAAAAGGCTGGTGGACGTCCCAAGGGTTGAAGCGATTTTGACGAGTGCAGAGTGGTGAGATGATCGCTGGACGGGACGGCATGGGTTGAAGGGTGTGACTGTAACGGGGGCCAGATGAGCAGACACTGCAAGGCCTCCATTACAGCACGTGAGCCTGAGGCAATGAGATGGACGCAGCAAAAGAGAAACAGACAGCAAGAGAAATGGAGAGTCAGAAACTGATATAAAACAAATGCAACACCTCACATGAGTGTCTTCGCATCCGTTTCCTCCTTACACCTGTAAAATATGCCACGTTCTTAAATAGAAGCTCTCATGAGGCACAGCGTCATAAGGAGGTACTCATAATGGTGTATAGTGAAGAAGATGAACAACAGGAGCGACATTAACAGCCGCGTGCACGCGGTTCTCGCCGACTGGTTATCGAAGTGCATCTCTGTTCCAGCCTCGTGGCGGCAACTACTCCCTCATATCTCGCTAACCTTGTGCGGAAGTGAGTTGCCGCCATGAGGTTCGAACAGAAATGCACTGTGATAAGGCAGTCGGCAGAAGCGCAAGAATGCTGCCGTTGTTGATGTTGCGCTTTCTCCTCGCAAACATCCTTAATTGTTTTTTGGCGGGGGAGGGGGGGGGGGGGAAGTAGGAAAATACAGAAGAAATTCAGATAAAAAAACACGGAATTGCAAGGAGAATCCAGTACTCACCAAGTGCAGCCAGCTGGCTGCCAGGACGAGTTTCAGCTGATTGGTCAAAATCTTCTGCCTCCCGTCGCATGTTGAAATTGCTAGCAGCATTGCTGCTTCGATCACCATCGCTGCTGCTGGTGGCGCCTTTCACGGCGTTGCGTGAACTGCTGCTGCTGCTGCTGCTGCTGCTGCTGCTGCTGCTGCTGCTGCTGCTGCTGCTGCTGCTGCTGCTGCTGCTCTTGCGGTGAAACAGGGCTTGGACAGCAGACCCAACCGCTGTGGCACTTGCTGCTACGGGATTGGAGGAGTCAGCAGGAAGTGCTGGCCCGTGCCGAGCCTCTCGAATGCGCCCCAGAGCGGGGCGGGAATGGTGAAGGTGGGGCGAGGACCTGAGCCCAGAGCGGTCATGCCACAAGGGCACAAGGGAAGGGCGAGCAGCCGAGGCAGGAAGGGGCTTCAGCAGCTCGTAACAGTGGGTGGATGGGATGCCCGGGGCTGGGCTGTTCTCGTGCTCTGGAGGTGCCTCAGAGGGCAAACTTCGCTCTTGCGGTGGAACTGGACCCACGAGAATCGCGACAGTGGGCCTTGCTTGCAGAGCAAGCTTTGGAATTGGTCGAAGCTGAGAGGCAGAACCAAAGCTTCTGGCGAAGGAAGAAACGAGGTTGCTGCTGGGAGGACCGGTGGGAGGAACGACCGGCCGACTAATCTGCTGTTCCGAGCTCGTGCGTTGCCATGACGTAGGGGTGGTTGAGTCAGGAGGCATGGGTGATTCTGGAGTTGCAGGAGATGTAGCACGAGATGTATCTTGGGCGGCAGGGAGTGGTACAACAGAGGTTGAGGCGTGGGTGTGTAAGCGACGGCTACACATGCGAGCTTCTGAGTGAGCAGGTGGCTGGAAACGTGCATGGGAACGTGAGTGCGAATGCGACAGCTTCAGCACAACAACAGCCACATTGTCCAACGTGCCTCGCTGGATGGCCTCTCTGGTGATTGTCTCTGCCAACTCACCAACCTCCTCCCTCTCCGCACTCCCCTCCCAACACACCCTCGCAGGATCCCACCTCCTCGCCTCCACCACCCTTGTCTCTCCTCTCACTGCCACCTGCCCGTTCGTTTGCCGCTGCAGCTGCTGCGCCCTCCCCTCCCCTCCTTGCACACGCACCTGCTTCTCCTCTGCCGGCTGAGCACCCCCTCCAGCAATCGCGCCTACAGCGTTTTCATGCCGATGTGCGTTTTCCTGCCCGCATGCCAACACCGTCTCCTGCTCACCCTCCCTGCGCATGCACATGATCGGGCCCTGCTCCATTCCCTCTAGCATCCAGCAGAATGGCAGCTGCCCCCTCTGCAGCACCAGCTGCTGCTGCTGCTCCTGCTGCTCTCTCTTCTGCTGCTGCTCTTGTATGTCCTCCCCCTGCTGCACCTGCACCGTTAAGCCCCCCTGTGCCCCATTATTATCCCCTGCAACCCGTTTTTTCTCGCTCTTTAAAGCAAGTGCTGCGCCGTCGCTGCCCTCCTGCCTTCCCACAGGCAGTGGAATGGCATGGAGTGATGGCAGGCCTGTGAGTTGGGTGCCACGAGCTGACGCAGCAGCACTGTCAAGCGCCCAATCCTCATCCTCCTCCCCATCCTCCTCCTCGTCACCATCACCACCATCATGCGCATCATCACCAATCCTGTGGCTCTCTCTGCCCGAGTTTCCCCTGCTCGACTCCATCCCCCGGCCCCTTGCTCTCAACCCCTGAGCCGCCCTCCTTCTCTGGTCGTGCATTGCCCTGCCCACAATACCGCACACCTGGCACGGTTTCATTCGCTCAAACACGCCATCTGTCGCCACTATCAGGTACTCCCCTTCGCCCTCCCCATCAGCATCCGCCTCCTCTCCATCCCGCTCACTCCCTACATGCTCCCTTCCACACTCCTCCTCCGAACCCCATTGACCCTTTTGCCACGCATTAGTCTCTTGATCATCCAAAGCCCCACTGCCACTCATAGCTCTGGCGCAACCCCACCCCCCTTCGTCACTCTCCTTCCCTCTCAACTCCTCACTCACCGCCGCATCTTCTCCTCGAGCTTCCACACCCTCACTATCGCACTGCCCATTCCTACCAACAGGCCTCCACGCCCCACGCCTCACCACCCACTCGGTGATCTCCGGGGTGGCCACCACCCATGGCCGGTACTGCAGGTCCCCTATGGCTCTGGACACGGCCAGCTCGCCCTGCACACGCGGCACACCGCCCCTCTCCTCCACTCTGCCGCCCGCTGCCTCCACCCTCCTCCTCTCGTCCTCCCTGTCCGCCCTGTGGTCCTCTGTAAGCTCTGTGGTGCACAGCAGGGCAGAACGTCGCTTCTTGGGTCGACTAGAAGAGTCTCGACTCCTCTTGTTCTCCCTGCCTACCCTGTGGCCCTCTGTGAGCTCTGCCGTGCAAATAGGGGCGAGATTCTGACGCTGCCGTGGAGCCCCTGAAACTGCGCTATTTTCCTGGTGACACATGGTTGACCATTGTTGCTGCTCCGACAACTGCTGCTGCTGCTGCTGCTGCTCAGTTCTGTGGTTGTGCTCCTGGTAGGGCATGGGCAACGCTTGAGCTTCCTGCTTTTTCAGCTGGTGTGAAGAATGCTTCACCTCCTGCCTACGACTTGTAAGCGCCTCAGAATTTGACTGCGGCCTCTGCTGCTGCCGGCGGCGAAGGCGCTGCTGTCGCCTGTGCAAGATCGCCAGGCGCCGAAGCTCTGAGACAAAAGAGGGAGGGAGGGAGGAACGGTACGGTAAATGAACCACGCCCAACAAATAGAAACGGTAGATGGAGAGCGGAAGGCAAGAAATCCGTCTTGAATGAGATGAGCAGCAGGCTGCTGTGGCATGCGGTGCAGGCAGCCATTTCAGTAGAGGGGCTGACCCACCTTGTCCATCCACTTTCTGCTCTGCTGCCTGCTTGCACCCACACGCTGTCACGGGCCGCCTCCCCCTCTTCAAAGCTCTCTCAAAGGGCCAACTCCACTCACGCACTCCTGTTGCTGCAAGAGCATGTGCCTTAGCTTCTGAGTCTACGGGAAGCTTCCGAGCCTTGGCTTCAGGAGCCATGGGAGAAGGGTGCATCCCAGCCTTGGCTTCAGCAGTCTCCAGCAACAACACACCCTGTGCTCCATCCACGAGCCCCTGAGGCCTTTCTCGCTGCTCCTCCACTCCTGCACCCCCCCACTGCTTCTCGTGCCCCTCCACCACCCTCGCTGCATGCTGCTCGGCCCCACACACAAACACTTTGGAGTCCCCTATGTTGGCCACTGCCACATGCAGCAGTTGCCAGTCTGGCACGACCCCTTGGGTGGGGAAAGATGCGTGTTGAGAGGGCGTGTGGCGGTGGTGGGTGGGAGGGAGGGCGGGCAGGATCTGGTGGAAGACAAGCAGGGCCACAGCAGCTGTGGAGCCCGACCACCAGCGGCGCTTGTGAGCTTCCTAGGAACGATCACGATAGGGAGAAAGAGGGGAGCAAAAACGGAAAGACGGCTGTGCGGTTAGGGGAATGCGGGAGCAGCAGGCACTGGAAGACTAGGAGGGCCACAGAGGCAGCGGAGCCCGCACACCAGCGGTGCTCGCGAGCCTCCTCCTGGGCGTGAGGGCAAGAGGGCAATGGCTAAACGTGTTCCTAGTGCGATTAGGGGACCGCAGGAACAGCAGGCGGTGGAAGACAAGGAGAGCCACAGAGGCAGTGGAGTGGAGCCCGACTACCAGCGGTGGTGCCTGCGAGCCTCCTGGGAGAAGGCGAGATGGGACGAGATTGAGACGAGAATTGAGAGAACAAGGACAATGGACATGAAACGCTGACGCAGATGCGGTCATAGGGCCACTGTAACAGAGCCCAAGGAAGGGAGGAGGATGATGCATGCATGTAGATACTGACAAGACAAACATGCCGAGATTTCTCCTCGTCAGCGACTGACCACCTTACCTGTGCGAATTCCTTGTCCACGTCTGCAAGTGCACCAGCCAACACTCCTTCGAGCAACCGCTTCCTCACCCGCTCCTGCTCCTCCGACTCCCTCTCACTCTCCCTCTCCCCACCCTCCTCCTCCTTCCCCACCTCCTTATCCCTCTCCTCCTTCCGTTCACCAGCACCATCCTCCCGCCTTCTGCCATCTCTCGCACCCTCACCACCCGTGTCACCACCACGCCCGCCTGCATGTGCCGTGGGCAGTTCCTCGCGGTTCGCTTGCGGCCGCTTCTGGTTCAGCGCAGGCGTTTGAGCCGACTCTGAGGCCGCCTTGCGATTGACAGCAGGCAGGGCAGCGAGTCTGGATCGGAGGAGGGGCAGGAGGCGGGAGGCGGCGAGCTGGCTCGCCTCGCCTCCCCCGTGGCCATCCAGCACCCCCACTGCCTGCACGGCCCACTGGTGAGTTGAGCCGTCTGGGGAAGGGGAACGGGAGAAGAGCATGGAAAACGAGTATTGCATGGTCACATGATGGATGCTGCATGGTCACATGATGGATGCTGCATGGTCACATGATGGATGCTGCATGGTCACATGATGGATGCTGCATGGTCACATGATGGATGCTGCATGGTCACATGATGGATGCTGCATGGTCACATGATGCATGCTGCATGGTCACATGATGGATCCTACGTTTTATCCTGACTGGTGCTGCATGGTAGCATGAGGGAGCGGGTGCAAGCCATGACGCGGCAATGGGGACATGCAAGCAAGAGGGCTCAACAGCCCGGGTACTCTAACGGATACGCCTTGAGTCTATTGGAGCTTACTATTCTCTTCTTCCAAACATCCGAATTTCGTCCAAATCAGGGACCAGTGATAAGAGCGTAATCGGCTGCTGAGGCGGCAGGTGCTCGTCCTTCGGAATCGTTGAGAGCTGTCAGAACATGCACCTTGAATGACAATGATATCTGATGTACCTCGGGTGACAGTATCGAAGGCTGGAACAGGGATAAGAGCGGAGCAGACAACTCTATCTTCTTGAGATTGCCGCCGTCCTTTCACCACCGACACGCCACACGGCAGGCCGTGATTGGACACGGCGATCGCCTGCGGAACTAAAACCGAGCCCGCTAGCAAGACGAGCAACACGACGATAGCGGCGGCTCTCATCACTGCGAAAGCGCGTGCCGCAGAAGGTGAATCCGCGAAAGTGAGTGTCGCAGAAGGTGGATTCGCGAAAGTGAGTGTCGGTAAATTCTCGAAAGCGAATGTCGCTGAAGGTGAATTCGCAAAAGCTATTCAACGAGCGACTCTCCCGATGCGAGCGAAACACGAGAGCCATCCAATCGCTTGACCTTTCAAGGAAGAATCAACTGTCCAAATCACTTGCTGATCAGCGGAAGGTACTTCGCTGCTGACCAGCACTATCAGCCATGAACGAGTGTGACAAGGGACTTCGCTAGCATCCTGCGTGTTCCAATAAGTGGATCGATTGTAGCAAGTACGCTGTTCCGCTAAGAGAAACCTGCTAGTTGTTTTCAAAGCCGTTCTGCTAAAAACAAAGCAAACACCACTCATTGGGTTTTTGAGGTGGGGTTTCATATGGTTGTCGGAGGGGAGCTCACTACAACAAGCTTGTTTTCAATGTATTTGGATATCACAGCATAACAACAGCAACAGAGTCAACCAAAACGAATGCAAAGCATCCCCCTGCTGCTATGGGAAGCGCAAGACACCGAAGGGGAAAACAATAGGGTCGGCAGAAGGACGACGGAGGAGAGGGTGGGGGAAAGTGGAGGAGGGCAGAGGCGGCCCACGAGACAAGCCAGGCTCCGGCCAATATGCCACAAGACCCGCCTAGACCCGCAAGTCCACGAGGTAGGGTGCGTCCGCCCACGAAGCCCCCCACCCACCCTCCTGCTCTCCCTCTCCTCGAGCAGCCCAGACAATGTCTGGACCTGGCATCATCGTCGCCACGCGCAAGAGGATGATCCGCGCCTGTGCCCGCTGTAAGGCCACCCCTATGGTAGCTTTCAATGACCCAACCAAGTATGCCGAAAAGGCCTTACCAGTCCCCCGCCCCGCTCCTTAAGAAGTCGCCACCTGGAGCTGCACATCCACATGCTGCCGCAGCCACCGCCGAAAGCCCTCCCCCAAACAGCCCCATGTTTCGGCAATGAGGGGAGTGCAGTGGACCCCTCGATGCCGACGTAAGAAAGGCATGTAGTCGAGCGCCTTCCGCTACTCCCACTCTCGAGCCGCAAACTCCACCACCCGACTGACCTGCCCATGCTGCTGTGAAGAGAGAGAGATGGGATCCACCACGCTCGCTTCGCCGGAAAGCCACGTCCACCCGCTTCCCCGTCAGAAGAGTGTTATCCTCCATCATGACCACCCCGTCAGCCCCCTTCGCGATCTTGGCCACCACGAACTTCACTGCATCATGGACCCTGGACGGGGCATACTGATGCAGGAGCATACCATAGAGAGTACAACACTTAGAACAAAACTACCTTGTATGCCCTATTCTAGTTAATTTGTTACCTTGAGATGGTATCACGTCAGCCGCAGAGGTCGTGGGATGGCGGACGCTGTGCTCCGCCTGGATGCGGAGAGTCAGGCGATCAATTTTTAGGCCTGGCTCGTCGGCCTTCGCCGTGACCTGAGAGGTCAGTGCCAGGACGAGTATTCTCTGGCTATTCATGTCGATAGTCTGCTTCCCCGTCCCGCCGCGCCTGCTGCCCTCCCTAATGCCCCCACCCCTGCTGAGCGGGAGGCCTTTTCCGCCGTTACGCTTGCTCGTGTTGTCTGGGAGTAGCGCGACGCCGTAGCGCAGCTTGCTATTAGTCACATCCTCCCCCTGTCTGAGCGTCCCCGCTTTACCACTGTAATGAACGCCAGGGGATTCTTAGATGCAGTCATTGCATGCTATTCCACACCCGCCACACCCTCTGCTGGCCGCCTGATCCTCCCCATGCTGCTCCCTGATCCTGCATCCTTCCGTGAGAGTACGGCTCCGTTACACTAATTTCCCCATTCCATATTTTCTTTCTATTTCATACCTCTTTTTATCCTGATTCATTTGGTCTTTATCTTATCTCATTTGGTTTCTTGTTCCTCCTTTTCCATTATCCTTTGGTTTATCCTGTTATTATGATTATATCACCGATCAGGCTCGGGATGTACTGGCGCGCTATATCTAGCGTAATCCTGCCGTAATCCCTTAAAGCCAATAGCCTTGCGTGGCTATACGCAAGTTGATTCTATTTCTAGAAGGGTCTATTCCCTTTGGATAGGAAAAACCTGGTTACCGGATGTACTCTGGAAGTATAAAAATACCTTGTACTGATTGATAGTGGAACATTGAGCAAACCTTATTCGATCCTGTGACACGTGGTAATCAGGGCCAAGGTTTCAGCTCAACGCTTAACCGCTGGGCCCCCAGGAGCACGCCGAGGATGCAGTCGAAACTTCAATTCCTGTAAGTACAATGCACTTTCTAAGTTTCGACTCACATCGCGCAGGTGCACCTGGGGTCCCCTTCGAAGGCGAGATGCCTCGCCAACCCTTCGATGGACCGCATCGACGGAGCCGGTTATTTTGCGGGGGCAAACGGGCTTGACCTCGCGAACGCGTCACTTTTGGCGGAACTCTCCCTGCGACATTCCGAGGAGTTCGCAGTTCGCGACGACACTTGGAGTCGCGCGGAAATCGGCGGAGTCGCGACCGACGACATTCGTTCGATGGAGATTCGACGCTTCAGATCTTCCGAGGCGAAAACGACATCCTTCTGAGCGAGTTCGAGTTTCAGCGCGAATGGGAACTGGACCTCGCAAATCGCGAAATTCTTCGGAGCGTCCGATCGTTCAACAGCCGACATCGACGACCGAGAATTGCTGCAGGAAACGAGTCAACCCATGCACCGAAAGCTGCTGAACGGGTCTCAGAAGTATCTTCAGATCGCTTGGATTTTGGACCGTCGGATCAACGTTTAATTCAACGGACGAGATGAAGCGCGACTTCTGCACAAAGGGAGAATGACGCGCAAAACCATGAATCAGCCGCCTTCGACACCGTTTTCTTCATATGGACAACCAGATTTGAATTCCTTCATTTTGTGACGAATATGGCGCACAAATCATGTACCGAGTCAGAAATCTGCCAGAGTATTACCTACTTGGTAGTAGCTGCAAGCAGAAAAATGACAGAAGAACGTGGATCGTCGGATCGGTGCGAAATCAACGGCACAAATGCAGCGGAATTACAATATGGGATATCATCATCATGGAGACAACATTCGTGACCAGCAACTGCACAATCGACGCATCTTCTGACTGGTGTCGATAACAATCAAGTTATTTTGACGAAGTCCTCTTCGTAAATAATGGATCGACATCAATACAGCGGATCTTCACCCAGGAAAAACAATGGAGCTGCGTGAAGATATTTTCTCCATCCACGAGACACTTCTTCATACAAATTGATCGACGAGCTTTGGGATTGCAGAGAAGTAGCCATTTTCTCTTGCAATGCTCCCAAGTTCAAGTTGTTGCGAAAGAGCAGATTTCGCACGCAACGACAACGCAGTGAACTCGTCTCGTCAAGGCCAGCGAGACACTACTTCGTAACAGGAGCTGATCGATTCGTCCTCATCAAGAATCTCAGCCATCCGAAATGACCGATAGCAGTCTCAACATCAATCTCACAAGGCGACACACCAATCATGCGTTGCGATTCCAGGTGTTAATGACATGCGTGGATTTTTTTCCGTGCGTGGCACGATGCTTAACAGATTGAGGAGTAATAAACCTCCAATCCGGCAAGTACTCGTTCACTAGCGACCATACGGCATATGCATTGGAGGCGATTCTACCAGAAGCCGACGCGTTACAAGCACCTGCGTAACTTCGACGATGCAGGAGATTGCAAGCGATACGAGCTGTCAGCACGTGATGGAGATGCGGACTACCTGTTGTACCGTTGCTGCGGCCCCAGCGCATCCGCGTCAGGGTAGGGGCCGCCGCCCCAAAGGGGAGCGTAGCATAGGGAAGGGTGGAGGGGGTGGTGGGGATGGTGGAGGTGGGGGCGGGGATGGTGGTTCAGACGACGGGACCAAGGCTGGTGCTCCGGAGCAGCAGCAGCAGCCGCAGTTGCAGCAGCAGTCGCAGCAGCAGTAGGAGCTGTCGCAGCAGCAGCCGCAGCAGTGGGGCCCCCTCCCGCCGAGGTGGCCCGGTGCCTCTGGTGGTGGTGGCCGCTGTGTTAGGACTTGGAGCTCGGCTTCGGGTGGTAGCTTCAGCTCTGTAAGTTGCCAGTACCAGCTCCAGACCAGCCCCCTCCGTGGCACTGTGTGTGGCCGTCCAAGGCATACTGCCGCCCGCTGCTTCCGTCGCCTCGACGACCTCTTCCGTCTCCGCTTCGGCCCTTCGCCGGACCTCCCTGATTGGCCCAGTCTGGTACGCCGCCGTGTTCCAGCCTTTGAAATGGATATGGATCAGATTTGCTCTGCCTTGCATGCCATGTACGTTGATGACTCTAGTGTACTCGGATCTTATTACCCTGTGTTGCCTAGCGTAGGTGTGCCACCTAAGTGTAGTGGCTTCTCTGCTACGTCTGGCATAGGAACGTCTGCCTTGTTTAGCCTAGGCTCCATGCTAGCCCCTCCGCCGGCTGCCGCCACCACTTCGCTCTCTTTCACGCTCGACTCTGGTGTGTCAACCTACTTTTTCCGCGACCACACTGCGCCCACACCCCTGTCGCGCTAGCTGACCCCTCCTCAGGTCCGGTATTTGCCCGTAGCTCCACTACCCTTCCCTGTCCGACGGTTCCCTCGGGCTCTCTTACACGCCTACACACCCCCTCGTTCTCGGCTGTTCGCTACGCCGCTCAACAGCTTAATCTGCGGATAGCGGCCGCAGGTTTCGCCGACCCTTCTCTGGACCAGGTTCCCTGGTGACGCATCTGCGTTCCACGTCTGGGGCTGCCTTGCTCACGTTTGTGCCTCTGGCATGGACAAGCTCACGGCCCACACGATCCCTTGTGTCTTCCTTGGCTTCCCCCTCGACGCGGCTGACTGGCACTTTTACCACTCGCCGTCTCACCGCTTCTTTCACTCGCGTGACGTCACTTTTGACGAGTATCCCTCCTTCCACCAGCGCTTTCCCCACCGAGGTCTCTCAGTTTCCCCACCCCTGTTTCTGGTTCCCACTCCCCCGGCAGCCCCTACTCCTCTCCCTCCCCGTCCTGCCCCATCTGGTGTGTCTCACGTCACTCCCCTCATGTCGATTGTCCCGGCCGAGGAGTCGGCTGACTCTGGTGGCCTCGTGGCGCCGTTCTCGCCGCTTGTCTCCGCCCCGGTTTCTCTTCCTCCGCCGTCACCGCAACAGCAGACGTCGTCGCCGTCGCAGCCCTAGTAGCAGCCGCAGTCACCGCCGCCGTAGCAGCAGCCGCCGCAGGGGTCCGCGAGCTCTACGGGTGTGGGCGTTGAGCAGGGTGCTAGTCCTCGGGTTACTATCGCGGCTTGTCCCAATGTTCTTGGGGTGGCACCAGTGCTGGGGAGGGTTCTCGTTCTAGGGGTGCTAGTCCTTGGGTTACTTTTGTGGCTTGTCCCGACGGTCCTAGGGGTGTAACCAATGGTGGAGAGGGTTCTTTTTCTGGGGTTGTTGGCGTGGAGCGTCCCGTAGATAACCGTGGTGCAGCTAGAGGTTCTGGTATCGGCGTGGAGCAGCAGCAGCAGCATTTGCCGCCGGTGTCCGCCCTTCGCCTCTTCGATGTTCCTTCCCCCGACTGCACGCCTGCGCCTCCTCCGCCACCGCGTCCCCTGCTTGTCTACGGCCCTGTGTTTCCTCCGCCAGACTCATCTCCGGCTCCTTTTCCCCCTCGTTCTCCTCCTGTGTCTCCTGACCTGACGCCTCCGTCCCACTTCAGGTCTCGTCGTCCCTCTCGTGCTCGTCCTATCACTTTTGTTCTTGCTTCGTTCCCACACGTCTCGTCCTCCCCTCCTCCCTTCGCCTCCTCCGTCGTCGTTTGTTGTCGCTCCGCCTCCTCTATCTCACTTCCTCCGTGCCGCTAGCCCTCTTGTTCTTCTGGTCCTCGCCTCTCTTGTAACCAACCCGTCTGTTCCTGTCTCCAGTCTTGACACTCTTGTTGCTGCCTTCGCTGACTTTGCCTCTACCCACCGCCTTGACTACGCCATTGCTCTGGTCTCTTACCCTGCCCTTCCTCCGTACATCGAGGGTGCTGCTGCCCTTGGCAGTGACGTCTTGGAGGACCGGCAGTACGAGCTTGCTTTCCTGTCCGAGTCCGCGCCTCATCTCTGCTCCATGTTGTTAGTCTCTGAGGGTGACCCAGATGCCTTCGACATCCCGACCCCTCGCACTTACGCCGAGGCTCAGGACTCTGGGCCTCCCAGTGGATAGCTGCCATGGACACGGAGATGGCATCTTGGAGATCCACCGACACCTATGTCGACGCTGTTCCCCCATCTGGGGTGAATGTAGTCGATGGACGGTGGCTCTTCAAGGAGAAGCGTCCGCCTAGAGAGCCACCAGTGTTCAAGGCGCGCTACGTCACGAGATGCTTCAGTTAGCGTGAGGGTGTTACAGTAACTTCTTCCAGACTTTCGCCCCGACCCCGAAAATGACTACTCTTCGGGCGTTGCTTTATGTAGCAGCACAGCGTGAGTATGAGCTGCACTCTTTTGACTTCTTGACATCGTTTCTTTAGGGCAGTCTGTACGAGTAGGTCTACCTGCGCCGCCCGCCAGGCTTCACCGGCACCTTCGCCCCGGGGACCCAGTGGCTCCTCCGACACCCGGTTTTTGGCTTGCGACAGGCGCCCCGTGATTGACACGACACGCTGTGTGTTGCGTTAGGTGACCTGCAGTTCATCCAGTCCTCGGCAGACCCTTCGCTCTTCGATTGCTCAGGCTAGACTCCGTTCTACATCCTTGTCTATGTAGATGACCTTGTCTTCACTATTGCAGAAAGAGACGCACTAGCCTCCGTGAAGGCCGAGCTGCTGAGGAGACACACCTGCACTTACAGTGGCGGAAATAATTGTCCGTATGTTTTGCATAAATTTGGGTTTTAGGGCTTTAAGACCACTATGCATTAAGCCTTAATGTTTAATGGTCGTACGATTTGGGAGGGGCATATAGTGGATGTGTTCAAGAATAGTACATTGGATCTAACTCATATCCTAAAAGATATACAAAGGGTTCATCAGGACAAATATTTCCAAGCAGAGAGAGCAAACTTCATAATTGCGTATCTGGCACATAGCCCAGCGACCTTTGGCCTTGATCACCATCCGCACCCTCCTAGGCATGTTACCAACGAGGTTAGTACAAGCCTCAACAGGGAACTTCTTGCACTCTTCCTGAACCCACCATTTAGCATAAGGGGGTGAGCACTAGGAAAATCATGAGAATTTTGGGCGTAGGCAAGAGTATTGTGGATGAATTTGGATTGAATGGTATCTTTGAGACTAGCCATGCTGAGGTGTGGCCAAAGTTGCAATTAGCCGGTCGGGCCCATCTTATCACGGATCGTCTTCATCGTTGTAGGGTAAAATCACGAATAGAGCGGTCAAATCTAGCGTAGACACCACGAAACTGAGGGTAACGTTGCATAGTTGACTGTGCACCCTTGCACCATTAAAAACGCTCCGGGGTCTGCGGGTCTAGTCCCGGTGCACCAGTCATAGAAGCCAAGACTGTTCCGGAAAATTATCGAGGACCGGCTGCAATTTGTGGAGTCGCATGCTGAGTGGACAATTAGTGTTCGAAAGCATGTGATCTGGTCAAATAAGACCAACATCAACTGCTTCATCTCCAATGACAGCGCATTTGCCTGGATTCGTGAAGGCACGACCCTTCAATGCCACCAAATCAATTAAACGGTAAACCATGGGGACAAGGATCGGTGATGGTGTGGGGATGTGTGACATGTGCGGGGGAGGGGTTCATACGCAAGATTGACGGATGCATAGAGAGGCCCCTGTATGAGGGCAGTTTGCATGACGAACTCAAATTGACCCTCCATTTCTATAGCATTTTCCCATCTGAGGTCATCTTGGTGCGGACAATGACCCCACGAATTTGTTATGCCTAGTTCATGAATGACTTGGAGAACATGAGTATGTAGCCTTGGAGTGGCCTTCTTTCTCACCAAACCTCAACCTCTGGGCTTACCTGAAAAGGGAGCTAGCGATGTAGAAAAGGCCTTCCTATGGAATGCTAGAGCTTTAAGAGTTGGTCCAGGAAGAATGGGAGAAGATCCATGCCAAGGTTTGCTCTAGCCTCATCGACAGCTCGACTAGGAGGGTGCGGGCAGTGATCAAGGCCAAAGGTCGGTGGTCTAGGAACTAGAAACACACTTCTGAAGTTTGCTCTCCCAGCTTGGAACTATTTGTCCAGATGTGCCCTTTCTATATCTTTTGGGATATGGGTTAGATCCAATACCCTATTTTGGATATTTGTACTATGAACAGATCCACTATGTGCCCCTCCCAATTCGTACCACCATTAAACATTAAGTCTTAAAGCCTAAAAACCCAAATTTATGCAAAATATACGGACAATTGTTTCCGCCACTGTACCTAGAATAGTTGTACCGCTCAGCCCTGGTCTTGTACGCTGACAACAGGGCCATGATCCTGCTATGTCAAGAGCCTCAACTCGAGGGCAGCGCAAAGCACATCCAGCTGCGGTACTTCCTCCTACACGAGCTACAGCAGCGCCGCCAGGCTCGCGTAGTACACTTGGCCTCCGGTGCCAACACAGCTGATTTCTTACTAAGGCGCTTGCGTCTAAAAGATGATCAGCGGCACTGTGTACAGCTTGGTCTAGTTCCTATAGCTCCTCACTTGCCAGGGCCTTGATTCTGTACTAATTTTATATATATATATATATATATATTCTCCTGACTGGCCTTGTGGTTACTGTTCCAGTGGTCGGACTAATCGTGCTGCTCTGGTTTTGCTCTTGTCTTGTTTGTACTCTTGCTGAGTGTTCTTCGGACCCTTGCCTGAGGCTGGACTAGTAGTGCCACCCTGAGCTTCGTGTCACTTGCTAGGCACTGCCCCTTGTCTAGCCTAGGGGGTGTGTCAACATATATATATTTGTATATGTTTATAGGCTAGCTAGGAGCATACCATAGAGAGTACAACATTTAGAACAAAACTACCATGTATGCCCTATTCTAGTAAATTCGTTACCTTGAGAATGGGATCTGTCAAACATATTTGTGTATGTTTAGTAGACTACATAGGGTCTTGCCATAGAGAGTACAACCCACTAGCTATATACCCCTGTATACTCTCATTCTATTCATTCGTTCTAACTCTGAGATGGTATCATGAGTAGGTTACACCCGCCCACCCGCGCTTCCGCCTTAGGTCCTAGCCTTCCCCGTCGCCTAGTTCCTAGCCGCCCCACAGGCCCCGTCGCCCCGTTGCCTTGCTGGCCCCACGGCCCCGTTCCCTAGCGCCTAGCCGCCCTTGGCCTTGCGGACCCGTCACCTAGCGCCTAGCCCCCGCGGCCCCGCTCCCCTAGCTCCTAGCCACCCGTGGCCCTGTTGGCCCCCATCACCTAGCACCTAGCCGCCCGCGGCCCCGTTCATTGCGCCTAGCCTCCCCGCTGGCCTCGTGGCCCCGTCGCCTAGTGCACAGCTGCCCCGCGGCCTAGCCGCCCCCTTGCCTAGCCGCCCCGTGGCCCCATAGCCCAGCCGCCCCGCGGCCTCGCCGTCCAGCCGCCCCGCGGCCCCGTCGTCCCAGCTGCCTCGCGACCCCGTCTCCCAGCTGCTCCACTCCCAGCTGCCTCACGGCCCCGTCGCCCAGCCGCCCCACGACCCGTTGCCCCTCCGTGTCGTGGCCCCGTCGCCCAGCCGCCCCACGGCCCTGCTGCCCAGCCGACCCGCGACCCGTCGCCCTGCTGCTCCGCGGCCCCATCGCCCAGCCGTCCCGCGGCCCCATCGCCCAGCTGCCCCGCGACCTCGTCTCCCAGCTGCTCTGCGGCCCTGTCGCCCGGCCGCCCCTCGGCCCGTCTCATAGCTGCTCAGCTGCCGTATTGCCCCGTCCCCGCCCGCTTCACCTGCCCTCTCTACCGTCCTGCACCGCACCCCACCGTGCCCCACCGCCTAGCACCGCACAGCACCGCGCCCTACCGCACTGCACCGCGACCCACCTCACTGCACTGCACTGCACCGCGCCCCACTGCACTCTGCCGTACAGCACTCCTTCCCACCATTCCTCGTCACTCTGTCACCGTCTGTTCGCGGTTGTAGCGGCCCTCATGGCAGACTCGGTGCTGCGCTTTGACGCGGAGGGTCAGCCGATTGAGTTCGCCTCCTGGCTCGTTGATCTCTGCCGTCACCTCACTGGTCAGCGGCAGGACGGCCACTCCCTGGCCGTCCACATTGACGGTACGCTCCCCTGCCTGACCCCCCTGATGCTCTCCCCGCTGACCCCACGTCTGCTGACCGTGAGTCCGCCGTCGCTGCTGCCCTTGCCCGTGCCGTGTGGCTGTCGCGTGACGCTGTCGCTCAGCTTGCGATTAGCCATGCCCTACCCCTGTCGGAGCGCCCCCACTTTAAGTCGTTCAGGACTGCGTAAGAGTTCCTAGAGGCTGTTGTCGAGCATTATTCCACCCCGTCCTCTGCCTCTGCCGGCTGCCTGATACTTTCCATGCTCTTCCCTGATCTCGCGTCTTTCTCCACTGTCGCTGACCTGGCCACGCACCTGCGCACGCTCGACGCTAGCTGGCGCGCTGCCTGCACTGAGGCCCAGCTTCGTGTGTTCCAACCCCTATCTACTCTACCCTTTACCTGCTTGCCACCCGCTTCCCCGACCGCCTTGCCACCGCCTGCGACGACTTTCTTAGTCTCCACCCCGCTGACCTCACCCTCTCCGACTTTGTCGACACCCTGTCTGCTATAGAGACCCGTCAGCGCTCTATCACCCAGTCTAGCGGTTCTGCACCGGTCCCTATCTTTCAGGGTTGTGCTCCTGCCTAGTGCACTTACTCTGACGGTTCTGCAGCTATAGCTGAGACAGCCCCTGCTGCTGAGACCGCTGCCACGGTGGCAGCAACGCAGTCCGTTATGGTAAGGCTCGCCGCCCCAAGGCTGGGCGCGGCGGGGGTAGTGGAGCAGGGGGTAGAGGTGGTGGTGGAGGTAGTTCGTCCTCTTGCGGTAGTACAGACGAGGGGGCTGGGGCTGGTGCCTCGGAGCAACAGCCCCAGCGGGAGCAGCAGCAGGCGCCACAGCTTGACCAGCAGCAGCAGTAGCAGTCGCAGCGGAGGGTCGGCCGCCTCCTGCCTGGGTGGCCTGGCGGTGGTGGTGGTGGTGGTGGTGGTCTCAGTGGTCGTGCATGTAGCTCGTCGTCGGGTGGTGGTGCGAGTGACGGGCACTGCCAGTACCAGCTCCAGACCGGTCCTTGCTGCGGCCTCGTGTGCGGTAAGAACGGTCATACCCCCACTCGTTGTTTCAGTCGCCTAAACAACATCTTTTGTCTCCGCTTCGGCCCTGCGTCGGACCTCCCCCACTGGCACAGTCTGCTCCGCCGTGGTGTTAGGATCCTTGATATAGAGATGGATGAGATTAGCTCGTCTTTGTATGTGATGTATGTCGATGACTCTAGAGTGACTGGTTCCTATTACCACGTGTTGCCTAGTGTAGGTGTGCCTAGTATGCCTAGTGTATGCTCCCCTTCTGCGTTACGCGTAGGACCCTTTGATTTGTTTAGCCTTGGCTCCACCCTAGCTCCTCCGCCTCCAGCCTCCGCAACCGCGTTCTCCTTCACTCTCGACTCTGGCGCGTCTCGGTGTTTCTTTCGGGACCACACTATGCTTACGCCTCTTGCCGTCCCTGCCGCAGTTGCCCTTGCAGACCCTTCCTCAGGTCCGGTAGTCGACCGTAGTTCCATCACCCTCCCCTGTCCGGCAGTTCCTCCGAGCTCTCTTACAGGCGTGCACATCCCCTCGTTCTCTCGGAATCTAGTTGGTGACGGCTGCTTCAGGACCTCGGCATCACCACTACGTCCTTGCGCACGAGAGATACGCTGTCTGTACCGAGGCTGCCATTGGTGCCCCCCTCACCACGTTCCCCGGGACCTGGTGTCTGGCCTGTTCACGCTGGACACCGGTCCCCCCTGGTTAGATGCCCCCCAGGTGGCAGCGTCTACCCACATTGCTGCGGCTTGCTCGTGTCGGTCGCTTACTCACCCATCGCTTCTGTGCACCACCGCCTAGTCACCCCGCCCTCACACGTCTCCGTCACATGTCCAGCACGGTCTTGTCTTAGGTCTACCTTAGTCGTTCCCTGCGCTCCCCCCTCGGCAGCACCTCTGTGCACCCCTTGCGTCGAGGGCGGCTCCGTCGTGCCCCTCACTCCTCCTCGTTCCCTCCCATCACCGCACCGTTACAGACCCTGCACATGGACGCATGGGGCCCCGCCCCCGTCCATGGGCCACGTCGTGAGCATTACTTCCTAGTGCTTATCAAACGACTACACTTGCTACACCACCGTGTTTCCCCTGGAGTAGAAGGCCGACGTGCCTGACGTTCTTATCTCGTGGCTTGTCTCTGGCATGTGCACCGAGGTCTCCCTATGTTGCGTCTTCACTCCGACCATGGTGGCGAGTTCGCCTCTGGCTGCCTTGGTCGCTTCTGTCGTACGGAAGGCATCACCCAGACGTACACCCTGCCGGACTCCCCGCAGCATAATGGGGTCGCTGAGCGATGCATCGGCTTGGTCATGGAGGTGGCTCGTACCTTCATGATCCATGCCGGTGCAACCCATTTTTTGTGGCCATTCGCTGTTTGCTACGACGCCCACCAGCTTAACCTGTGGCCGCACCCCCAGCAGCCGCAGGTTTCGCCGACCCTCCTTTGGTCTGGGTCACCTGGTGACGCGTCTGCGTTCCACGTCTGGGGCTGCCTTGCTCACGTTCGTGCCTCTGGCACGGACAAGCTCACTGCCCGCACCGTCCCCTCTCTTCCGCACAGCCCACCCCTCTGCAGTAGACCACAAACTCTCTGCTCCAGTTCTGGAGGAGGCTGTAGAGCATAGTGGTCCTTATGCAGAGCTGGTCGGTTGCCTCATGTACCTGATGACTTACACTCGTCCAGATCTCGCATACCCTCTCAGCATCCTGGCCCGCTTTGTGGCCTCTGGAATACACCGACCACAGCATTGGTCTGCAGCTAAGAGGGTTTTGCGTTATCTAGCAAGTACGTCGGGCATGGGGCTAGTGCTAGGAGGACACAGACAAGTGGTCCTGACCGGGCACACAAGCGCTTCTTGGGCAGATGACGGCGAGACTCTCAGGTCCTCCCAGGGCTACAGTTTTAGCCTTGGTGCAGGTCCTGTCTCGTGGAGGTCGACCCGCTCATCGTCTATTGCCCAGTCGTGCTGTGAGGCTGAATCTATGCCGGTGCCATGGCGGCAGAGGAGCTCCGTTGGCTGACTTCCTTTCTCACAGAATTAGGTGAGCGGCCTAGCTCTGCCCCAATTTAGTACGCTGACAACAGGGCCATGATCATCCTGTATCAGAGCCCAGACTTGAGGGCAGAGCGAAGCACATCCAGCTGCGGTACTTCCTCATCGTGAGCTACAGCAACGTCGCCAGGCCCGCGTAGTACACTTGGCCTCTGATGCCAACACAGCTTATATCTTTACGAATGCACTTTCGCCTAAAGATCATCAGTGGCACTGTGTACAGCTTGGACTCTTTATATATTATCCTGACTGGCCTTGTGGCTTCCTCCCAGTGGCTGGACTAGTAGTGCTGCCTTGGTCTTGTTCTGCCTTGTTTGTACTCTTTTGACTTGTCTTTAGACCCCTCCCTCAGAGGTTGGACTAATAGTGCCGCCCTGAGCTGTTTGTCTCTCATCAGGCTCTGCCCCTACTATCTAGGGGGTGTGTCAAATATATTTTTGTATGTTTAGTAGACTACATAAGGTCTTGCCATAGAGATACTTCCATAGGTGATGCTGGTAACAGAAAGAAAAATGATTGTAACTAGAATGTGTGTACAAGGATATATAGGCTAGGGTGTTGTACCCTCTAAGGCACAATCCAGTATAGTCTACAGTAATGACCTAAGTTACATTTGACGCACCCCCCTAGACTATATAGGGGCAGTGCCTAACAAGGGAAGAAGCAGCTCAGTATGGCACTACTAGTCCAGCCTCTAAGACAAGGGTCTAAAGTCCAGTCAAGAGGAGTACAGACAAGGCAAGAGGCAAGCTCAGCGCGGCACTACTAGTACAACCACTGGGAGAGGCCACAAGGCCAGTCTCAGTAAAATATGT